TTGAATTTTTGGTACACCAGAAATGAGTTGAGGGTCTTGAGGTCGAGTATTGCCCTCCATCCTCCTGAGGTCTTGGGAACCACGAAGAGGATGGAGTAAAACCCGAGACCTCTTTGATCTGGTGGTACCTGTTCTATTGCTTCTATGGTGAGCAAATGCTGAATGGCTTCTCTCATGAGGCCTTGCTTCACGGGATTCCGTGATAGGGGGCAAGCTATGAAGCGCCGTGGGGGAGGAGCTAGGAACTCTAGAGAGAGACCGTCTCTGATAGTGGTGAGAACCCAGCTGTCTGCGGTGGTACTTTCCCATTTGTGGAAGAATTGTGTCAGCCTTCCGCCGATGGGAGGAGTTCGCCTCAAGTCACTTAGTCTTTCGGAAGGGACGACCTCCCCTACCACGGAAAGTTCGCTTGCCCTGGAATTGTGGCTTAGGCCTGTCCCTGTAGCCGGACCGGTCCGAGGAGCGGTCCGGCCCTGATTGAAAGGGCCGATACCCGCTCCAGGGATTTCGGTCTGAGTGAGCCCTAAATGACGCTCGTCGATTATAGGGAGTAAAACGTCTGCCCGTCCTTTTAGAAAGGTGAGAAAGTACCTTCTTTTTCTCCTTGTTTTCAATTAAATAAGGAGCGAGTGCCTCGCCAAAGAGGCGACCCTTCTGGTATGGAGCAGCTGCTACCCGCCATTTATGTTTAGTGTCGGCCCTCCAATTTTTTAACCAAAACAACCTACGTGCAGCTACGTTTGAGGCTATGGCTCTGGCCGAATAATTGGCCGATTGAAGTGACACGTCCGCCATATATTCCAGAGCAGCTTTTAGCTTAGTAATATCCTGGTGAGCCCTCAAGTCATCTGGGGAAATCCTGGACTGAAGTTCACGGAGCCAAATCAGTGAAATCCTGGCAAAGAAGGAATTAGAAGTTGAAGCTCTTATTGCTAATGCCGACGCCTGGTGAGTTCTACGTAATGAAATCTCAGATTTCTTGTCCTCGGCCTTAAGGGCCTCAGACATATCCCCTGGGATCTTGGTGTCCGATAGAATGGGGGAGAGAGCCTCATCCACTCCTGGGACCTCTAAAACCTTGTTGAGGGAAGGGACCGTATCCAGGAGTTTACGGTCTATGCCCCCAAGAGCTGAGAAGGTACCAGGGGATCCCCATTGTTCTTCAATAGATTGAAGAAACATGGGGGGACAAGGAATCTGTTGGTTTTTTGTGACAGGCTTCTGGAATAGTGGATCAGAGCTCAGTGCAGAGTCCTGATCCGCTGTTTGGGGCTTCACCGGTTCAATCTTCCCGGTAACGCAGGCCTTGCGCAAAAGGGAGGAAAAGAGAGCCGGGTTGAATACCCCAATCAGAGGAGTAGCCTCCGTATGTGTGACCTCATCATCTGACCACAGGCCCTCCTCAAGGACCTGCTCGGAATATTCCGAGATTACACTTCCCTCCGATTGCAGTGGAGAAGCCGGATCTTGCTCATAATCCCTAGGATGTGAAGTTTCTCCAGATGTGGAAGGGTAAGAGGTCCCTGGGGCCTGAGGGGTTCTCCCCAAAGATGCCATTGCCTGAGCCACCGCCTGTGAAATCATAGCCTGAAGCTGGGCGGTGAAAGATGGATGTTCCGGAGACTGGAGACCCACCGCCGTCGGGGTGAATGATGCCGACGGAATTTGAGTGGGGGCCACAAAGGAAGGTTCACCCTGGTTGTCAGATGCTATTTGGGATAGGCCCGGATCGGTCGGATCTGTGTCCTGGATTTGCATCCTCAGACCTTGGTCAAATAGGGACAGATGATCCCTACTGAACCCCGGCGAGGGATCGAGAGTGTGCTCAGGGGACCAAGCCCGTGGAAGGGGAGAAGGACGTAGTCCCTCACATGTGGATGCCATGGGGAGGGAAGTGGGAACTGGTTGTACCTGCGATGTGCGTTGTTGTGCTCTGGAAAATTGTCGTTCCAACGCTCTATGCCTGCTGTCTGCCTGCTTCTCTGCCGTCTTAGAGGTCCGTTTGACCTTGACCTTGGCTTTTGATGGTGCTTCCTGGTTGGGCGACTTGCGTTTTGCATTTCCACCAGAGGTGGAAGCCTGTGGAACGGTGTTATCCGCCATAGTGCAGTAACAAGGAGATAACAGGCGCTCACCAGGAGATCCCTGGATCCGTCCTGATCTGCAAAAACACTAACAATGAGGTAACAGGCGCTCACCAGGAGATCCCTGGATCCGTCCTGATCTGCAGGAGACAAGGCTGCAGCCCACCTGGATGGGACAGGCCTGCACAAGGGTCTGTGAGGTCCGGCCCACCGACAAGCACGGAGTCACACCACGCGATATAAGCCGCGTTCAGCCCTAGGGAGCTGTCCTGTTCCCTAATCAATGAAGAATGGATGGTTTGAATGACCAATAATAATCTATTAAATAAAGTTTTATTTTTTATTATTTTTTTTTTTAAAAAAAATTTTTTAATTTTTTTTTTTTTGCAGGGAACCCTCGTGCCTCACTTAGTGGCGGCCGTTAGGACAGCAACTGGCCAGCCACCAGATGCAGACAGCGGAACAGGCCAGCAAGTCAAAGCAGTTGAATTGATTCACAGAGTGAAAAGGACCAGCAGGTAAGAATATAGGAGTCTGAAGATCAATAAAGAAGTTGAAATAGAAAAGGGAAAGAAAGGCTTTCTCTGAGGAGGTATATATATCCAGGAAACTCACTGTCAGCCACGAGGCTGATTAAAAATGGCGTCTGACCAGTGGGGGGGGGAGGAAGAGCAAGAGCCAAAGGACTTGATCCGATGGGAGGGAAGTAGGATCCCCTACACCCCCGCGTGAAAAAGCCTCTCTCTCAAGAAGTAATGCAATTGAAATATATATGCAGAGTGGGATCGCGCGGGCCCCAAAATGGCGGCCGCGACGATCCGAGGCTGCAATGAGGCTTTTTTTGCTGACTGAGAGGATAGGAGCCCCTGTGTCCTCGTAGGCCAGACCCTCCAAACGCGAGTATCGAGAGAGGAAAGCCCCCCGTCAAGCAAGTAAACTCCGAATTTTTAATTATTATTATTTTATTTTTTTTATTTTATTTTTTATTTTTATTTTTTTATTTTTTAAATTATTAATTGCGATTGAGCCCAGTCCTCCAAAATGGCGGCCACGCCGATCCGGGGGAAACAGAAACCTCTTTTTTTTTTTTTTTTTTTTTAAAAAAAGGGAACTCCTTAGGGAAAAAGAAATCCAGAAAGTAACTAGTTTATTTAACTAAGGAAGGTAGATAACGGAGGCCTTGAGTAAGGTGAAATTAGGAGTTAACCAAAAATAACGAGACAGAAAAACAAACCCAGGAAAAAAGGTGGGGGGGGAGGGGGAGGAGGATAATGGCGATCGCCACGCTGCACAAGGCAGCGTTTTAACGATCAGCCGGCTGTCTCAGTGCTTGCCTGAGGAGAAAGACAGAAAACAGAGCAGCTCTGTGTCGGGCTAAATTTCCTCCCCCCAGGAATAGTAAAGTCCACGGATGGATTCTAACTACCTTAATCTGAAATTTAATCAGGAGCCAAATTCCACGTCTGCTTCAGGGCTGAGACCAAAAGAAAACTGGGGCATGCTCAGACCCTGAAGGGGCGTGGCGACTTTGATTGTTTGGTCTGATTGGGCTAGAGGACAATTTACACCCACACGTGGAGTCTACATTCCTCCATTTGCTGGAGAAAGGGTTCCTCCAATAAACCTGGTAATTGAGCATCTCTGATCAAAAGCAAGTGTACCACCCAAGATCATCTGAAGAGTGAAAGGCAAGGATGTAGCTGAAACATCTTGCAATGTATTGAATACAACAAGGAACTGTCATGATATGTGGTGGCACTGTGGTTAGAATGCAGTATTGCAGGCTGACTCTGTCCACTGCCAGGAGTTTGATCCTGACCGGCTCAAGGTTGACCCATCCTTCCATGGTCGGTAAAATGATGACCCAGATTGTTGGGGGCAATATGCTAACTCTGTAAACTGCTTAGAGTGCTGTAAAGCATTGTGAAGCAGTATATAAATCTAAGTGGTATTGCTATTGCTGTTAAATAGTTTCTGTGGTATCCTGATTAATGTGAACCAGACTCATCTCACCCATCCCTTTTCTGCTCTATGGAATTCCCTAGCCCTGATGCCCAGAAACCCTTTGTGTAAAGGGAGATGCCAGAAATGGAGCATTGGTATTTATGTCTTCAGACAACTTGTTCTTCCCTGAACTATGTTCTCTTCCAATAGCAGCTAACTCTTACCTGAGTTAATCCAATCTGTCCAGTCATCCCTTTTGAGAAAGGTCCATCAGAGCCACCATGCCGAATGACTTTTTGAAAGAAATCTCTGGAAGTTGAAAAACACATTCACATAAATTAGGGGAATAATGGTTCTTTTCAAGGCAGACAGCAGTTGGGCTTCAGTCATCACACTAATGGTAGAACACTGTGCATCTAAATATCAAACTATAATTAATCAGACCTTGCTACAGCGATATCAGTAAAATGCAATGCAAGTCTTAGAAAAATATGAATGTGTTAAATTCCCATATGCATGTCCCAAGATAACATACATTTAGAAATGGACTGACCTATTCAGTCCAATAAGAAAAGAGATTTATTCATATTTTCTGGTTCCTATTCAGAAACTGACATTATGGGGAAAAAAATGTAAGAGTCACTGTTTTGAGTTAGTCCTTGGTCTCTTGCCTTATACAGCAAAATCAATCCGAAGACATTTGTGGAGGACTTCTTATAGCTACATACTAGGCTTAAATGAGTATTATTGGAATATGGGTCAAATAAAATCTCTTTCAAATCTAGTAATATTTCCGAGAGCTACCAATGAATTTGCACAGACATCCAAAGAACCTTTATAAAGCAGGAAGATGTTTAAAGAACACACATTATCCCATTTTATACTGGAAATCATATACTGTTTTGATAGCTCTTTATAATGGACTACTATGAATGACTAGCACATAGTTGTGTGTTGCTCAACCATGATCTATCTTACTTGAATCTGGATCTTACACAACCATAACCCTATGCAACATTAGCTCTCAAATATGATTTAAGCGAGAGCATCCTAATCCTTTCAGAAAGATTGCAACAGCGCTTATACAATGAAATATTCTGCATTATGTTGAAAGGAGAAAAAGATATAGTATGGTGTAACCATGGAAAATATCAGCAAGCCTAAAGTATAACTAGGTATAATCTGACTAGAACTATAATTTCACCTATTTGGAATCTCAATACAGAACACAATTATTCATATACCGGTAACTAACAGTCATTTAGATTGGGGTGGAAATCTAAATGTTGTAAGCCAGAGGTTCCCAATCCCCAGGCTGTGGCCTGTTTGGAACTGGGTTGCAACACGTGCACCCATGCAGCTCCATTTGCATGAGCGGCGAACACGTGTGCCTGCTGCTTGTGCAACTGGAGCAACGTGTGCACACTTGCCCACCACTTACATGGAAACATCCCCTCTTCCCCCACACCAGTCCGCAAAGCTGTGTAAAACTCCACTTGCACGAGCGATAGGCGAGCACACATACGTGCAGCTCCATTTGTATGAGCGGCAGGTGTGCATGCCCAGCGCTTGTGCAAATGGAACAGTGTGCGTGCTTGCCCAGAACAATCCCCCACCCACTGGTCCACAAAGCTGGAAAGGTTGGGAACACTGTTGTAAGAAATCCAGAATCCCTTGATAGTGAGATGGCCCTAAAAATTCAATTTATTTATATTTCACCTAATTCACCATGTTTTGTTCCTATAATCTGAAAGTGACTTTGTGTAAGTACTGTCACACCAGTTTGGAGGAAACCTTTCCTTGCAAATCCTCCAGATAAGAAAAAAGGTACTTAGAACTCATTACTGCACTGTTCAGTAACTACAACTTTTTTCTGCCTGGCTGTTTCTCTAGTTCCAAATTTTTAAATGTGTCTAGAATCCATCTTAAATTGTTTAAATCCATATTCTTTACTTTCAAAGACTTTTATAGCTTTGGATTTAAACGCGCCTCTGTACTTACTGTATATACCTCAAAGCATCTTTGTTATCTCCATTCCCTACAGCAGTGGTTCTCAACTTGTGGTCTGCAGACCCCTGTGGGGCTGCGATATCATCACAGGGGGCCTATGAAGGCTTGAAAAAATGTTATGATTTAAATCTTAAGTCTTGTGGTCTGTGGCCACAAAAGGTATTTAAAGGGGGACCGTGGTGAAGAAAAGGTTGAGAACCACTGCCCTACAATACAGTACTTCTAGCAACCTCAAACAATCATCTATTTAAGCCTTACTTTTTGTCCTATGAATTTGCATTTGCCCCTCCAAGTTTCTTTCTTCTAATCAGGCATCCAGATACAATACAGTCTATATGCTGGTTTTCAAGCTCAGAACCTCAGAGTAATCATTGAGTAGGATAAGCTATGCCTAAAACTTATAATGTATAATTTCTGAAAACTGCTCCATGTCTTCAGAAAGTACGAGGTCTAGTCTAATCTAGCCTAACCTAGTTTAACTATCTTTCTGACATGCTATTTTTCTGAGACAAAAGTTAATACAGGCAGTCCTTGACTTACAACCACAATTGTGTCCAGATGTGAGACATTTGTTAAATTAGTTTTGCTCCATTTTACAATCTTTTACAATCTTTATGGTTGATAAGTGAATCTGACTTCCCCATTGACTTTGCTTGTCCAATGGTTGCAAAAGGGGATCACATGACCCTGGGACACTGCAACCGTCATAAATATGAGTCAAATAAATTAAAAAATTAAAATAAATTAAAAAATAAACTATCTCTGCGGGAGATGGGGGTTTAAGAAATAGGAAATATAAATAAAATAAAGTACTGCTTCACACTTTTTGTGATATTTTTGGTTGGTCCCAAGAAAACTACTTCTCAACACCTTCAACTGGATCTTGCTAATTTGCATTAAAGAGGATCCTTAATGTATAACTCCCTTCAACTCTTGTTATGGGAAATTTGAATACCCATTATAATAATAAATTGTGGGTTAACAAAAATTGCCTAGGTCTTCATGTGATATATGAATATTTTTATGTTCTTTTGGATAACTTTTTAATAATTTATTTGGTTGACTTAATTTACTGTGAGGATCCTACTCTCAACGTGGAACAAGTTCATGTAATTCTTTAATATGCTTGTGATCACATGCTTTATGTTAAGATAGAAAAATATATCTTTGATTTGTCTCTATTGCATTATTAAGACTACCATATTTCTTTGGAAGGAATTTAGATGAACCAATTAAAGTAAATCTGTTCTGAATGCGAAATCCTCCCTCCCCCTGTACTATGAATGGACTTTTTTTTTTAAAAAAAGCAATTATCTAGTTTCAATTTGCCACAAAGAAGAGGGAGTCAAGCTATTCTCCAAAGCACCTGAAGGCAAGACAAGAAGCAATGGATGGAAACTAACGAAAGAGAGAAGCAACCTAGAACTAAGGAGAAACTTCCTAACAGTGAGGACAATTAATCAGTGGAACAACCTGCCTCCAGAAGCTGTGAATGCTCCAACACTGGAAGTTTTTAAGAAGAGACTGGACAGCCATTTGTCTGAAATGGCAGTGCTTTTTTTCTTAAAAAAAAAAAAAAAGGTGCCGGAACTCACACACATCATACAACCCGCCTTGCCTACCCTACAAGATTCCATCCAAAAAAGGTGCCAGAATTCCGTTCTGGGTGTTCTATGAGAAAAAAAGCCCTGTGAAATGGTATAGGGTAGTCTGCCTGAGCAGGGGATTGGACTAGATGACCTCCAAGGTCCCTTCCAACTTTTTATTATTATTATTATTGTTATTATACTTTATTCTTACTTTTTCAGAAGGATACAAAAGCTGTTCATAGGCCCTCTTGGTAAAAAAGAGTCTTTTATGTACACAAACCCTACAATAAGCTCTGATAGAGCATATTGCTTAAGAGACCAATGGTCATCCCGATTTTCAATGTCATCTCCTCTTAGGCAGATCTCAGACTCCTATGCATTATTATAAGGATAATAATGTTCTACCAAACTGAGCTGTTATACATAATATCCATGGGAAAAGCAACAGCTAGTGCATTATGTCTCAAGGAAGTAATTAAACAAATACCTTAAGAAACCTGTGATGATTTTGCAATACTATAAAACCTGCCTTGGTTATCACAATGCTAATAAAATAAGCTGTGTGAATCAATATACAGAAGAAAATATTATTAACTAGCTTAGAAAATTCCAAAATTGGCACCAGGTATCCTCTATACCCATGTTTTGTAAAGCACGGTCCAAGGAACTCTGAAGGTCCCCCCCCAAGAGCCTCCCAGGGTTTCACAAAATCAAAATTATTTGCCAGATAGTGAAGATACTAGCAAACATTTAAAACAATGTCATTTTCTGTTATTATTTGTTAAAAATTACAGTGACAATTACACTGACAATTACAGTGACAATTACACTGACAATTACACTGACAATTACAGTGGCCCTGACCAATGGGATACAGCCCCCTTCTATGTCCCAAAGGTCTTTTTTCCCCCTCTCTCTCTCAAAAGGCAGCTGACCTTTGTTTTTCCTTGACAAAGTTTTGCTTCTCATCCAAGAAGCTTCAAGGAAAAAAAGTCCAGTTGCCTTTTGAGAGAGAAAAAAGCACATTTGGAACAACCGTGACCTGGATGACTGAGAATCTCCATAGACAACCCCTTTTAAGGTATTGCAGACTCTCAACATTGCCATCCTTTAAGCTAAATTAAATCCTCTTATACTGGCCTTACCAAAGCAGTAACTTCCAATATATAAACTGCCTTTTCAATGGACTGCTTTTATAATGGTTGTAAACTACTTTGAGATGTTTACAATAAAAAGCAGCATATACATCTTAAATCAATTAGTGAACAGTCTGCCATGACAAATCTTAAGTACAATTATTGTGCATTATTTCCTGATTTACTTTTCCTTCCGTTTTGTCCTCATTTTCCACACATAATTTGTAGACTAAGTTCTCTGGCACATGGATTTGCTTCCCCATTCTGGATAAAGTATCACACACATCAGTGACACTATGAAAATAACAATTACTACAACACCTTTGCTTACATTTAACATAATAATGCTAACTGCAGGACAGCATCGGAATTTCTCTCTATTTTAAAATTGTTCAAAATCCCGAAGAACTGAGCACATTGGTTCTCTAAGTGCCGCAGATCAGTGGATAAAATGCCGGCTATATTTCCGTATTCCTGCACTCAAAATCGCCATTCACCCAGAGACTTTCGTGAAGTTCACACTGAACTTAATTGTCAACGTCTAATGCTTGGAGCTTTTGAATAAATACGTGCGAAAACGTATGGCGTATACGCAGTGAAAGTCGATCGACACCGATCAACTGCAAAGCTTTTCCTCCATGCCTTGAAGTACATGGCGAAAGCGCCATAGGCGTTTATGTTTATTAAGCCAACCGCACTTGCAGAAATTAAGTTTTGGATCATAACTGCGGGTGGGCGCAGCACACGTATTGGTAAAGTCGACGTATGTAAAGACACAGAGAAACAGAATCAGGCAGACCCCCATCACCATTTCTACTCCCTGCGATTACCCACCCAGGTAGGCCCAAAGTCTTCTCCAGATTTCGGAAAAGTATCTGACTGCTACCCAAAAGGACGCCGCCCAGGTCGAACAAGACTACTAGCGGCCGCTTCCCCGCCATAGCTCTCCGAGGCGGCCGACCAGACGCTCTGAAGCAGGTTACAGTATAGTACAATATTCTCACTTAAGAGAAATCATAACACAAACCACGCCCTCCTGCAAGCCACACCTCCCCGCTGTGTAGGAACTCATTGGGCCACGCCCTCGGCGACTCACAGCGACCTCCTTGAAACCAGAGACGATAGGTCTGATGTTTCTCGAAAGTATTCTGGGTCCTAGCGCTATAGGACTACAGGGGGGGGGAAAAGGCACAGCAAAGGTCCTCCCAGCTACTTCCTATACTGGATGAATTGGATGCCTATAAGCAACGCATGAAACAAAAGTTGGTGCTTATCTGAGCAGCTAGCAATCAGAGGTGCTTTTTCTCTGAAATGGAGATTCCATAAGTATCTCTGATTGATTCATGGAGTTGGCCATGAATCTTCTGCTCAGAGGCAAATGTCCACATTACTGCAGAGTTTCAACAGATGGCTACCTAACCTTTTTCCTTAGACAGTAGTATGGCAAAGGTTAATTCTCCAACATGTACTTTGTTCTTCTGTTCTGCAAGTTAGTTTCTTTTACAATCCGCCTTCTGGGAGGCTGCACTTCTCCCTCTCTCTTTCTCCCCCGCTACACCTGTCTGGGACGGTCGCATACCACCTGCCACTGATGGTCTGTATACCACAGGTTGAAAAGCCCTGTTCTAGGGAATAGAGCAGGTCTTAATCTTCTCTGTGATAGCCTTTTGAAGAATGCTGTATCCCTAAACCCAGCCTATTCCTAGTTTCTACAGACTCCATGAAACCTGATTATTCTTCTCCCTCTTTTCTGTTCAACCTGTTCAGAAAAGTCTGAATTTTACTTATTGTCTAGTACTGAACACAATGCTCATTGAGATCTGAGTACTGCATTGTAAATTGAAGCTAATCCCCCCCTGTGATTTTACATCTACATTCCTGTTGACCTAGGAATAAAGTGCATTTGCTAATTTTGCAGCCACACTATACTGCTCACTCACATTCATTTTGCTGTCAAGTACTCATCCAAGATCTGTTTCACAAGGATTATTACCAAGCTAGGTAACCACGATCTTATATTTCTGTTTCTTAAGTAAAGAACTTTGCATTTGTCTTAGTAAAGTTTGATTCTGTAACTTTCAGTCCATTTTTCTAGATTATCAACAAAGTTTTTAGTTTTAGTTTTATTAGTAGTATTTAGCATTAGCTGTCCAACCTTTTTTGTCATTTGCAAATTTTATAAAGATTCCCTCCACTTTCTCATCCAGGCATTAATAAAAATTTTAAAGATTCCTGGAAACAGGAATGGCAGCCCATTCAGTACCTCTTGTGTTTGTTGAGGAAACATTGATGAATATCCATTTAACTGATATGTCATTCCATGCATACCAAGCTAGATACAATATCATGGATTATCAAAAACATACAGTGTAAATTATGTCTATGGCATCCCCACCATCTACTAAAGTAGTTGACTCAATTTTAAAAAATATGATAAGCTTAGTATGGCAATATTTTTTATCTCCTGTAATTACCTAATTATTTTCAATGAATCAAATTGTGATATACTCTAGAATATTCTCAGTTACAAATTTCAGGTTTACTGGGATTTAATTCCTTCAGTAATCACTTTATTCATTTACTTGGATTTCTGAATAGATTTAACATATATCTCAAATATTCCTTTATTTCTATTATAACTTTTCCCTTTGAACAAATTATGTCCTTCAATTGTTATATTCCAGTCATCAGAATTGTCCTATCAAGTTTCCATTCTATTTACTGAATCATATTTTCCTTCCTGTATAAAGACTTCAGGCTCATTAGCTTTCCATATTGTTACCATTAGTGTTTAGACATAAAGGTCTTGAAGCCAATGTTATTTCTGAATTTTCATTAAATGGTCTAGTAGGTTCCATTGAAGCAACTCTTTCTATAATGTAAGTCTTTTTCTGGAATGCTGCTCTCAAGATTTTTTTCTCCATCCTTCATAGAATTCAGATCAACCTTGTCATGCTTTGGCCGAATACATGTTCACTGGAACTTCTGAAGTGAAACCCATCTTGTGCTTACAGTCCATCTTTTTTTTTAATAATATTTTTTTATTAATTTTCTAATTTTACATTTAGGTATTTAAAAAGCATTGTGGTGGCTGGGTTAATCAATAGTTCAGTAACATACAAAAATCTTTAGTACAAATCTCAAACTACAACCTCAAATATTTCCTCTCTTTTTCCCTTAATATCTACTATCTCATATTTAAGCTAACACAGTTCTTATTATATCAACTAAATAGAAACATCATTATTACGTTTATCAATAAATTTTTAGCTTATACATATCTTAATTACTTTTTTTTTTTTTTTTTTATTGAAAATTTTTAAAAGTTTTACAATATATCTCCCCCCCTCCCTCAACCCACCCTTCCCCACCC